GGAAAACAAAATAGAAATTTTTATAAGAAAAAATAGTTTCATTTTTGTAAGAAAAGCCTCTGGAAGGCGAAAACGTTAAAATTTAAAGAATGAATAAGCTAAAAAATTACCGGCAAAATATGTTAAGTAAAAGGGTTTGTGAAGTAATGTGAATTTTTTTGTAAAGTTTCGCTTCAAATTTTAAAAATTGGGGCAAAACTTTGTCAAAAAGAAGGGCTTTATTGCACTTTGTCTTTTACCAAAATTTACAACGAATATCCAGATGTTAGGACATGTAACAAGGGCATCGTTACAAGTTAAAAAGAATCTGGGAAACTTGATATAGTTGCTTACGATATTAAATAAAGGTTTTAAATACGAAAAACTATCAAACTTTTATAAACTTGGAGCGAAACGTCGTCAAAAAAGAATGGCATTAACGCATTTTTTTGTAGGATATAGTTTTCGGTATTTTACAACGTTTTCTCGTGTATGATTTAACAACAGGTTTCTGACAATTAAATTAATTGAAAACCGAATGTCTTATAATAGTGCTTTATTCTAAATATAAAGTTCTAAAAGGCAACGCTGTACTTTTTAAAGCTGGTTTGTACTACATATGTTTATACAATCAGAAAGTCATAAGCCCAAAAGGGTATACATATGTTTCCTCAGTAAGGATACTCAGTGTTGCACATGTGTCTTATTCACACTGTGACACTTGTCTCGACAATAAAGATACCTAAGTGTTGCACATGTGTCTTATTCACATATGTGACACTTGTCTCGACAATAAAGATACCTAAGTTTTGCACATTGTCTTTTCACATTGTGACATTGTTCGACAATAAAGTTTACCTAAGTGTTGCCCATATGTCTTATTCACATATGTGACACTTGTCTCGACAACAAAGATACCCAAGTGTTGCACATGTGTTATGTATCACATTATTCTGTAGATATACTGAGATATACGTTATGTCTCTCAGTGTATGTACACTGAAAGTTGTAGTATTTTTTTCAATATAAGTACAGTGAAAGATACACTTACACTAAGAAGTGTATATCTGTCTTCGTAAAATTTTCGTGTCCTTTGCGTTAACAAGTGAGACAATGATTGTATTTTCCCGATTTCGCTTTATTGACACAGACTGGTAATTATCCTCATTATGCTCACAGAATGTGTTAATAATACTTATGATTGTAGTTCACAGGTATTTTACTTCAAAGTTTAATAAGGTGGCGCAGATAGTTGAAGGTGTAAGGCGTGTGCGTTGCTGGAAAGATGGTTTAACAAGATGTGTGGTCGGGCAAACAAGCGCTGCAATAACCTCTGGACCAGTGAGCGATCGTCTTGTTTATGACGTCACTCAGTGGGCAGTGGGGATTGGCTGAATCAGTCATGACGTCACTAGTTGGGCAGGTATGATTGGCCGATGGAGCGATGACGTAGGTAAGTATCCTCGCCCAATGGTAGCACGCGGAGGGTCTGGTACATAAAGGTGGGTGCGCGTAGCCAGATGATACTTTCGTTACCTCCATCTCTTGTAGACTGAGTTACTGGAGGTTCAGCTCTTCTAGCAGCAACAGCAACAGCAGCAGCAGCAGCAGCAACAGGCTACAGCTCCCCCACCCCCCTCGTCCCCTCACAGCTGACGCAACAGGCACCAAGCGCTCCTCTCGTACACGTGAGTACCTCAGCTTCTCTATCACCCCGCTACTCATAGTCCTACTCTACTTAGGCTGTATAAACACACACACCCCTACATCTGTTAGTGTATACACTGAGAGATATGTCTCTCAGTGCATCTACACAGAAAGTTGGATATCTTTCACTATAAACACAATGAAAGATATAGTTACTTCTAGAGGTGTACATTTATGTATTTACACCAAGATAAATATTTCTCAGTATATATAAACATAAGTGTATATATCCAGTAGAACAAGTCACCTGGGGATGGAGATCTCTGACTTGTTCTGTATGGTTAACATCGCTTGTTTGCGATTGTACTGTATATCTAATATATATATAAATCGAAGTGTATATCAGTATATAGACACTGAATGTGCTTCATTCCTTAGTCTGGAGAATAAAGTCTTCTTGACGTTACTACACAGTTGATTTACGACCTTAACGACCCACGTGCAGTGTCTTCATTTTAAAACTAACTCATCTCGCTTCCTCCAGTTCCTGTTTAACATTTTTCTCTCCAATATCTCATTCATGACTCAACTGTCTTTCTGTCCACGTTTTTCTCCACAAAATGGTTCATCGTTCCATTGTTCAATTTCCGACATTGTTCCTCTTCCACTGTTTGATTCCCGACCTTCCTCTTATTCCTCCTCTTCTAGTTTATCTTCGTAGTCTCATTTTTCTTCTTTCGACTCTTTTTTTAATAAAACTTTTATGTTTGGTTTTATCCCCGTCATTTTGTTCCCTTTTTCCCTTCCCTTTTATTTTTTCATAAAATTGCCTTCTTTTTTTTTTTGGTTTAAATTTTCATTCTTGTTTCGATTTTCCTTTTCATTATTCTCGTTATATCAGTTTTTCCCTCCACTTTTTGTGTCCAACGTTTAAATTTTTAAAAATTTTATTTTTTTTTTTCCCCCATTTCTACTCTCCCATTTCTTTTTTATTCTTTCTTCCCATCTTTTGTTTTTTCTTACGTCTAATCTCTTTTTTTTTAATTCTCCCATTTTTTTGTGTTTCCCTTACTCTCCCATTTTTTGGTTATTTTTTCTCTTCCATTTTTGTTTTCTTTCTTCCCACCCTTCTTGTTATTTTTTTTTCCCCCTTTTCTTTTTTCCCTTTTCCCAAGAATTTCTTATTCATTCTTTTTATTTCATGCTTTTCCTTTTTTTCCCGTTTGTCGTTTTTTCCCGTTCTCTTTCTTTTCCCGGTTTCATATTTTCCCAAAATCCCCAATTTTTCATCAATTATCCCTTTTTGGTTTTTCGTCATTTGTATTTCGTCTATGTTCTATCCCCAAATTTTTTTTTTCATTTTTTCCCCTTGTTTTCCCTTTTGGGCTTTTTTTCTTTTTTTCCGTTGATTATTATTTTAAATTTGAGTTTTAAATAGTTTTGCCCGAGGAAGGGGGGGGGGAGCTCCATTTCCTTGGATAAAGGCCCGGCTCACAACCACGTACTTGTAGAAATTTTAATTTTTATTGTTATTACTTTCCTCTTAATCGTATTTTACTTTGTTTTTTTTAAAGTTTTCTTTCTGTTTTGATTCGGTTTTTTCCCTAATTTTCCCTGTTCGTTATTTTTTCTCCCCCTCTTACTTTTTCATTCGTTTTTTTTCCCTTCCCAAATTTTATTCTCTTTTAATTTTTCCATTTCCCTGTTTTAGTGTGTTTGGGGTTTCGATTAGTTTTTAAACCGCTGGGGAATCTTTTGTTTGCCTTTTTTTCCCTTCTTTTTCTTCGGTTTTTTCTCCCTTCTCTTCTTCTGCCCTTTTAGCGCGACCCCCCCTTACCGTGAGTTCAATTGCCCTCTCATCGTTTTTCCCCCCTTTCTGTTATTCCATTTTGTTGTATTTTTGTTTTCCTTTTAAATTTTTCCAAAATTTTCCCCCCTTTTTCCCTTCCTCAGTTTTTCTTTCCCCTTGTAATCTGGGTTCCTTCCCCTTGTTTTTCCCCCTTGTTCAACGTCAGTTTCCCCTATTTCCTTGTAATCTCAGTTCCCTTCCCCCTTTGTTAAATTTTTCTTAGTTCCCCCCTTGATTTCATTTTCCCCTTCAAAAATCTTTTCCCTTTCCCTTTGTTTTTTTTTCCCTTGTTCCCCCCTTTGCCCTTTTTTTCCCTTTATTTTGCTAAGAAAAATGGGGATATTTTCCCCTTTTTTTTTTAAATTGACTGCTACTTAAGCCCTTTTTGAATTAATTGCAAATATAGATTTTCCCTAAAGTGAAAAATCAAGCGAATTGCTTCATTGCCCCGTGGGTGATGAATTTTTGGGAAGGGGAGAGTAAATCAGTCAACCCCCTTTTAAACTGGGGCCCAAAGAAAAGCGCAAGTTGATAATTTATGACAAAAATTTTTAAAGCTTTTAAAGTATTTAACAGTTCCCAAACCCCTTCTGGGGTTTGTTTGTTTTATTCACCCAAGCTCGTTGGTGTTTATAAATTTTTACAAATCAAATTTGGTAGTTTGGGGGGGAGCCCCCAAATCCCGTGGTACTATCGTCTGGTAAAGTGGTTTGGGAGGGCCCCCAAACCAAACCCGTTTGGGACTTTGTTGGGGCATGCAGGTTGGTAGCCACCAAACCCTCCATGGTATATCGTCGGGGCATGTTTGGTTGGTTGCCCCCAACCCCTTTCCCTTTTTTAAATATCGTCTGGTTTATATAGGTTGGGCAGCCACCAACCATCCCCAAAGGGCGGTACTATCGTTGGTTTTTGGGGGAAAGGTTTTGAAACCGAAAGTTGAAGATTGAGACACTTATCAACATTATGGGGGAAACTTTTTTTAGGGAGTAATGTGAAAAAAGTTTTGGTTTTTTATTTTCGAAAAAGTTTCGCCCAACAGTAGGCTTTTTCCAAATTTGAGTACAGAAAAGTTGATAGAAGCAGAAAATTTCTTGAGGGCGATGTAATCAAATCCCTCCCCCTTTAAAACTTTTTTAGGTGGTCGGCCCTCAGTCTGGAGAAGGATTTTTCCTTGTTTTGAAAAAAATAAATTTTTTATTTCCATGGAACAAAGCTCTTTCCCGATGAGGGGGTGACCACCCAAAGCTTTAAGGGTGATGGACTGATTACATCGTCTTCAAAATTTTTGCTTCTATTTAAAATTTTTGTATCGACTGAAGAAGCCTACTGTGTAGGCGAAAACGTTTCCCCCCCCCCCAAAAAAAAAATTTCCCAACTGTTGCCCTGTGTTTACCCAAACAACCCGGGCGGTAAATTTTATACCACTTTTTTGTTCCAAAATGGGAATCTTTATTGAGGAAACGTTTCGCCACACAGTGGCTTCTCAGTCCCAAAACAAAGCAGAAAGGTGTAAGGGGAGGAGTTCGAGGTAATTTAGTCCTTTCAGCCTGGGGGGTCGGTGTGTTCAGTCTAAACAATTTTTGTAGAAAGTTCAGCAAAGGGCCGTAGGACGTGGCTTATATTCTGTGTAGGTGAGGCGAAACAAGAGGAGGCGGGGTCTGTGGGACCATCCACTAATTTAAATAGGTTTCGGGCCAAAGGGTTTGGGCAAATTTTGAAGAATTTTTTTTCGGTTTTCAAAAAACCCTTCATCCCAAAATGCCCGGGCACTGGTTTAAAATGGGGGTCTTGTTCCGGGAAAAATTCTTCAAAATTGTCCAAAAGTTTTGGGGCCCAAGACCTACTTGCTTGTGGATGGTAAACCCAAAGGGCCCCACTCCTCCCGCTTCGTCTCACTGAATACAGTATATAAGCCACGTCTTTCGGCCCCCTTTTCGGGACATTCTAAAAGATTGGGGAATGAAACACTTTGCCCCAGGTTTGGGGGGGCTGAATTTAAATCAAACTCCTCTCCCCCTTTCCCTTTTGTTTGTATTGGACTGATGAAGCCACTGTGTGGCGAAACGTTTCCTCAATAAAGATTCCCATATGTTGCATAAGTGTCTCAGTCTTCAACTATCGTCTGGTCATGTAGGTTGGTAGCCACCAACCATCCAGGGTGGTATTATCGTCTGGTTATGTAGGTTGACAGCCACCAACCATCCAGGGTGGTACTATCGTCTGGTTATGTAGGTTGACAGCCACCAACCATCCAGGGTGGTACTATCGTCTGGTTATGTAGGTTGACAGCCACCAACCATCCAGGGTGGTACTATCGTCTGGTCATGTAGGTTGACAGCCACCAACCATCCAGGGTGGTACTATCGTCTTGTCACATGACCGTGAAGATATAAGATCGCAGGTAATATCTTTAAAACTTTTACTTATATTCAGTATACACTTTATTATCTTGTATGTTCCTCAGCACCTCTTATCCCTATAGCATTTCCTTTACAATTTACGAGTCATGATCTGAGACTGGGTCGAGGGATTGATCATCCTGGAACAATCACATGATCTGAGACTGGGTCGAGGGATTGATCATCCTGGAACAATCACATGATCTGAGACTGGGTCGAGGGATTGATCATCCTGGAACAATCACATGATCTGAGACTGGGTCGAGGGATTGATCATCCTGGAACAATCACATGATCTGAGACTGGGTCGAGGGGATCTGATCATCCTGGAACAATCACATGATCTGAGACTGGGTCGGGGATTGATCATCCTGGAACAATCACATGATCTGAGACTGGGTCGAGGGATTGATCATCCTGGAACAATCACATGATCTGAGACTGGGTCGAGGGATTGATCATCCTGGAACAATCAGAAAATATACTTTAAACTCTCAATTAAGGTTATTCTATATAGTGTTTTTTTATATGACTGGAAAAAGTGTATTCAAATTTGGATGTACTTTTTCAAACGTGTTTACAAAAAAATCGGGGAAAATAGAATAGGATTGGAGCTAACCCATTTCCTCCCTGTTTCATCCTTATTATAATTATTATGATCATGGAGGAGCGCTAAACCCGTAGGTTTATACAGCGCATCGGGGGGGGCATGGAAGGTATACAGGATCAATTCAGGGAACCGGAGCACAGATCCAATTCCATAGATCAAGAGCCCCTCACCAGCGTCAAGGAA